CGCCACCCCCTTACCCCTCAAACTCCCTTTTTTCACCTTCCCCCTCCACCTCCAGAGAACGTTCCCCTCTGTTGAGATCAACAGTACGCTTTCACTGACAGGGCTTTTAGCCAAATGTCGGGACACGTAACCGTTTTTTCGTAGCAGACGCAGGAGGTCACACACAATGCCAGTGATCGCTCACGACCCTCGCCCGGCAGGGGGCAGAAAAGTAGTCCTTTCTCTGCAGCGCACAGCGGAAGTGGAATAGTGATCATGCGCACTGTAGCGAAGCTCCCCGGATATGGTTTTGCGGGTTGGCCGACTTCCGGCCCATTTGGCGCGTATTTGTGAGAGGTAGAGCTCACTCAGCAGACGATGCTGCTTTGGGAAAGCCGGTCCGTCTGTTGTGTTGACATAATCCTCGCGTCCGACCAGATCAATCTGATCCACCTGAAAAGAGCTATTTATTTCCTTTTTTAATATCGATAGTTTTGTTTTGTTCTATCTGGCTGTTTCCGCTATTCACTGTTGTGCCTGGGTATGACATCGCATGGGGTTGGAGCTTCTATAAATACTGGCTGGTCACTTAACAGCCGGAACTTCCAAAATGAATATTCATCTCCGAAAAGACCGAGCCAATTAGGCGGATGTACAATGGGAAATCCCCCCCCCCCCCAACAATGAGAATGCCAATAGGGTGATTGAACTGACTAGAAGCAATCACGAGGTGCGTGCAGTTCATCACGGTACTAACTGATTCATCACAGTGCGTGTTCTTTTTAATAATAATCTACAGAAATGATATGATCACACTAGTAAGTAAGAACCTTAATCTGGTCGTTGCCGTGATTTCTAGTATGTGTCTTTTTATCATGTGAGTGTTTCCTAAGGAGAGAGTTTCAGAATGAAAGTGTTTGACTATGAGAGTGTCTTGTGTTTATCAACATCAGCTCATCTCTCCGGCCTCCACAGCACAAAGTCTACTTCGACTATCAAATGTATATGTATATGATTAGCCCCCTGAATTCAATGCGTATCGAGTTTTTCTAATGGATGCGGAATGTGATCTACACAGAGGAACAAAGCTTCTTGTATTTCTTGGTCTGAATGTTTTATATCTAGTATATCTGGAGAGCAGTCGAGACTGTCAGAGAGAACAATTGAAAACTGTAGTAACAAAATCAGCAGTCCCCGACAGATAATGTTACTGCCAACTGCTTTTCTTTCTTATAATCAGAAGGACTAGTACTAATCTTTTATTTACTGCAATGTGTTCACGTACAACCAGTTTTTGAGGTGGCGTCGGTAGTCTAGTGGTTAGGCTACCGGACTCGTAATAGTAAGATAGCGGGTTCGGGGGTTCAAGCCTAATAAGCTCGGTCCGACGTTGTGTCCTTAGGAAAGACACTTTACACGAACGTCCCACTTGGCTCGGTCCTATCGGAGACGGACGTTAAATTAGGAGGTCCCGCCTCTTAAATAACCTAATAGTGTTGATAGGGGCGTTAAACTCATACCATTTCATTTCACCATTTTTTGAGTGCGCCCGTTTTGCTAACATTAGTTTTTGCTGCTGTGTATTAAAACAACTGCTGTTGGACAGGGAAGCGGATATTGT